AATCTTCCGTTTTTCACTGTCGCGTGCAAGAGTAGCCCAGTGGGTTCTACTCGCTCTAGGGACTCGTCGAGCATCATTTCTTCTAGGTTCTTCGTAAAGAACTCCGACCATTGGGTCGGTGGTCTTCCCGCAGTACGTTTGACATCCCGGGGAATCCAGTCACTAATGGCTCTTGTCCATCAGTTGTCATACGCATTACGTGTCCAGCCCACCTTATCTTCGACTGTTTGGCATACAGAACGGCATCATTGATTTTTGATCGTTGACGCAGGTCGGAGCCTCCGATCCCATCCCTTACTTGTGTGAAACGGGATACTCCTAGCATCGTCCTTTCGACTGCGCGTTCCATAACGTTGAGTGATCTTTCAACCTGCTTAGGCAGCAACTAGGTTTCTGACGCATACGATAGGGCAGGAAGCACCGTTGAGTCGAAAAGGTGGGCACGGAGTCGGGTGTTGTTTGTTCTCTTCACTACATCCTCGATACTCTTGAAAGTTCCCCAAACCGCTCGTTTCCTTCAGCTCAGCTCTGGAGCTAAGTCGTTCATCATATTGATTTCCCGACCTAAATAGACATAACTGGAGCGTTCGGAGATATTCGTTCCGTTGAGCGTGAATGGGGCATACGAAACCAATCTGTTCCTTATGAACATCGTTTCTGTGACATTCAGTCGAAAACCGATCCTTCCACAGGCTTTATCAAAGTCGGCAAGCATACATTCCGCTTGGCTAATGTTTGGTGTTACGGACGATGTCATCAGCAAAGCGAAGATAATGTAACTGCCGACCCTGGGTGGTAGAGAACCATGCTTACCCCACGGCGCAGGATCGAATCAACATGCCAAAGATGCACTGCATGGAAACTCTTAGGTGCGATATCCGATTCGCCTCTTCAAATGTGGAATTCTGAACCAAGAACAAACTGCCTCTGAAGTTTCAACAAATAGAACAATGTAGCGGTGAAGAAACTCACTTCGCACTATATTGCAGCAACTTCTTAGCTTTTGGCGATGGCGAAAAACATACTAACAAATGCAAATCTTGGAGTCCATGCTTTCTACGAGGCTTTATCGGATTTTTGCATCGTGAATACACCTAAAAACGATCGCTGAAAGCAGAGCAAGTTCAACGCTAGTTAGAAATTTGGTTCCATCCCTTTTTAGACTTAGTTGAAAAAAAAACTAGTGTAAACATCGCATGGATCACGTGAACATTCAAAACAATGCGCCTGTGCTACCTCTTAAGCTTTCATAGCTTTCTTACAGCTTTCATCACAAATACTATATTATTCTTGCAGTCGGCAGTCGGTCGTCGGCCCTAATGAAGACGAAGAAGTCGAAACATTCGTCGAATAGACCTTATTCTCAACCTCGAGTTTCTCTTTATTTATTTTATACGAGCTGTCCTCCCGTCTATGGTGCGGATCCGAGCACTTCTTACATTCGGTTCGTTTCCTCGCATCCATCATCCAAGAAGATCTTCCAACTTTTACGTTTGGCTTAGGCTACTGCTTGAGGACTTTCATTTCATCTTGAATGTCGTAGAATGTTGGTTAAATAGATTCTTTCTGGAGCCCTGACATAGCCGGGCTGGAGGGTTCCCATATGGATTGCAGAAAGTGAATTTTTCCCGGACAAAATCGTTACCAATTTCTCGACCCGGGCGGGGTGACAGGTTTGGTTTGCCCGAAGTGGGAGCGATGTAGCACCGTGCTCGTGATGACCAACATCACTACCATTGTGATATCCGCTCTTATCAACCACGTGTAAGCACAACAACTTAACAGATGTTCCACACGTAACATCACGGCTCTGAGGAAGGCGAAGTCGCCGAAACGTCAGCCATCGACCAACAACATCAAAAACAATGAGAACGACAACGACAACGATCAACTTCGCATCAGCTTAAGATCAGTTTGTAAGGTCATATAAACAAATAAACAGATGTTGATTATTTTGCTACCGAGGTTAAATGACGGTCGATTTAGAAATTGTTAGGCTTGAAGTGTGCCCTTGTATTCATCAAAATTCATCTTCATAGCGCATTTGACATCTTGTGTTGCACCAGAACTATGTAAATGAATCATCTGACCACACTATTATGTAGAATAAATCACCCATTTCAGTTTACCAACGTTTCGCTAGCAAACTGAAAAAGATGATTTCTTCAAACCTTTCAACGTACACAGAATCGATCTTGAGGAAGTGGAACCTCCAGAAAGATTTGTTTCTCAGTGCCAATCAGATGATGGACCGCAGGCGAGCTTCCGCATATTCCAAGATCTACATGTCCCAAATAAACTAGCCCATTGAGAGGACTGTCATTATGGTGACATGGTAGAAGAGAACGTTGTGACACCCACGGAGGCAACTGAAAAGTTTCGCTCAGAAAATCCGATAACCGAACTCTGTGTAAGTGTCGTAATATAAAAGTGAAATAAAAGCACACTAACAATCCAATCATTTCCTTTGTATCATGCTAAAAACCATTTCCTTCACAGCTACCAGGTACCAATTCGACTACGTCTTAGTATAGAAAGAGGCAAAAAAAATATCAGATACTCTACGCGTGACGGGTGATTGCTGGTGGCAGCATTAGGTAGAAAACTAGCTGAGGCAAATGCAAAGCAAGGGCCTCAGTGGTAGGTTATACGCGAGACCCCGGAAAAGGAAGTTGCATTTCCATTCGGCCCGGCGTCGAAGTTTTGCGAATACCTCAGCATCGTTGTGGTTGTATATCATATGTTCTGTTTCTGCAAAAATACCACACAAATATATCACCAACCACTGGATCGACGACAGCAGACGAGGTGCCCTCCTCAGAAAATGTACTAGCAGTATCTGTTCCTCCGATGCAACTGTCCATGAGAAAGCCTTCCTGAAACAAGTCGAAATAATTACAAATCTGGACGACAGAACCAAAAGCAAAAAAGAAACAGTAAAAGTACAAGGGTAAGGACTAGCGATTTTGAAAACAGAATCCTATTATATGCATATGGGAAGAAAACATGCCACAAACGCATACACCACCCAGGACAACAAAGGCGGGAAAAACGAATAGTGTTAGTATGCACATACGTTGAGAAGGAGACATTGTGAGAAATGGAAAGAAATGGGAAAGCAGCAAAACAATGAAGCAGACCTCATCCGAGATTTAGTACATAAATGACCGAACGTGCCATATGTGGTTGAGCAAAGTCGACCGGATGCCTCAACTTCTATGTTGCTGCGGAATTCTTTTGTCCTACCTTTGCAATTCAATCGATATTTCGGCCCTAGTATGGTCTGCAGAGGCTAACCTCTACGGTCAACAATTCACAACAACCCTTTGGCGCTGACATGTTCGCCGTACTACTGCGCGTTGTGCTGTAGATATAAAGGTTGGCTCCATCAACGTGATTGTGAGCTGTCAAGCCATGGCAGTATCATTCAACCCGTGGTACTACAAAAAGCCATTGGCGCTGACATCTCTGCCGTACTACAACGAATTGGACTAACTTGTCATGACTTGACACTTGACAACTCACAATCACGCAGATATTGCGAAATTTTATACCTACAGCCCATTAATACTTCATAGCACTCCTTCACTATCCACACTTTCATGGTCGCATGTGTGGTAGTGGCTAAAGAAAGCCAACCACACACTATTAGCTTTCGATTCGAACCCACATCTTGATCTAACCAAGTCCTTCGTCCGTCCGAGATCGGAAAACAGCTAGCAGATTTGTTTTAGAGGATAGAAAACATTGGCTTAACAGATCCGCAGGCCTCCGCACGTCACTGTAAATGTCATGGCGCGGATAATGCCTCATATCACTTCCAGGTCACAATATCTAGGCTCAATTTAAATTTCCCTAGCTGGAATCTGCCTATAAGGTACGAATTAGTTCATTTTCTACACGTCCCGTCATTTTTACTGGCATCAATTCCAGGAATTCGGAGGGATTGGAGAGCTGGTGAGCCTTGTGTAGATAGAACTAGCACATTGGTCGGATGAGTCTCAAAGGGTATTACTATACTGCGCCACCCGCATCCTCCTCATCCTACAAAAATAATATTCTGGAGCCCAGGAAATGCCACCTCCTCCATGTTTCTGGCGTCAGGGCTTGTATTTCGAACATGAAAGAAAGTGGATAGATGCGACATAGTCTTACCAAATGACGGGATCGGGGATTTCAAAAAACTCTACTTAATACCTAATTTTTTGAAAATCTCAACTGTCACCAGACTGAATGCATACCTATCCTACACAATGACTCGCGATCGCCTACTGTTGTATGGAGACAATGCTTGTACCCTCCGAGATAATTATAGTACTAGTCCGCCGATCCCGGAGGGTCAAAAGGCTTGGCGCACCTGACGCGCTGGATCGACCCCGTATGTTTTCCAGTGCATCTCTAACCGCTGCCCTACACGCGCCCTTATATATATATATATATATATATATATCCACAGAGGTCTCATATGAGGGACTTCGAGCCGGCTAGTTGCGAGGTTACATGGCGCGTTCCCACTTGGCGGATAGGGGGTTAATCGCGAGCCAACAGCGACCGTATGTTTCCCTGAGACGTAGGATCCAGGAACTGGACTCCCTGTTTCTGCTGCGCCGATTTGGCACGTACTTTCTGAGTCGTATTCATCCACATGTGTGTGGGTGCATTCAAGTTTATGCGGATTGTATTTTACGAGTCAATTCGTCCAAAAGCCTGCAATTAAGTGACAGGGAAACATACGGGAGGCGGTTAGGAGTCGCCTCCAATAAATCAGCTCCATGTGCACTCTGCGAGAGAGTGGCAAGGCACTCGTGAGTATACCCAGCCCCACGTTCAGAACGCAGCGAGCTATACGTGGCTATCAAAACGCTAAACATGGCAAAAGAAATGGGCCTTACTCCCCTGTCCCCGAAAGAGCCCCCAATATCGCAGCGTTGGGTAGGACGAGTACGGAGAGGCTGCTAAAATCTCAGGGCCAATGGAAGCTGCCTGGATTTCAAAGAACTATGGTGACGATCTGTACCTACAATTCACGTATACTTGCATCCGAGTCCTCGATAGAAGACCTGATAATGGAAGCGAGAGAGAAAATATATGACGCCATCGGCCTGGCCAAGACGAGACGACAAAACCCATTCAAAGCCGTCTATGACACCGGAGAAGAACTGTTCCTCCTTGGAACATACGACAGTAGAGGAGTCGGCGGCGTCGGCGTTCTCATCAACACGAGTTTGTCCATGAACATTCCTGTCCATTCATTCGAACAAATTACAACCCATACTGGACGTTTACGATTGGAGAAATGTGGATCAATAACTGCTTTGACAATCTTCGTCGCTTACGCGCTGACATCAAACTATGACGAAGAAGAAGTCGAAGCGTTCTAATATGGACTTAGAGAAGTTCTACAGAGAAGACCACACATTCTTCAAAGTTATCATTGAAGATTTCAACGCCAAGATTCGACCAAGGAAAACGTGTGAAGAACGTCACATTGGGACCCATGGATTAGAATGGAACGAACAAGGTGAGCGGCTGTCTGAGTTTATCATGGCGAACAAGACAATCCATGGTAACTCGCAATTCCAGAGGTCCCACCTTCAGCGCTGGAAATGGGAGTCCCCCAGTGGAAAGTACCATAACGAAATAGGCCAAATCATAGTAAATCAAAGGTTTTGCCTAACCGATGTCACTGTTGACCCAGAATTCTACACGGGATCAAACTATCTCCCCGTTCGCGTAAGATTCCACTTTTCGCGGAAAGGTGAAAGAACCACTGCAAACTGGGGCTTATACAACTCATTAGTCGGCTGTTAAGAAGATGCCGTTGTCCATAATATCGATGAAGAATACGATCGGCTCACTCAACATCTTCACGTTAGCGTTGTGAAAGTTGAGAGTTCGAAAGTCACGAAGAGACGTCTGTCTCCAGAAACTCTCGAGCTGATACGCCAGCGTGGAACCGCACTAGCATCAGGCAACCGCGAACTAACATCCGAACTTGCAAAACAGTGTAGATAGGTGATAAAAGATCTTAACTAGAAAAGAACAGAAGTAATGGTCGAAGCTGCAAAGGCTGGGAAAACCATTTGCAAAACCCACCGAAGCTTTGCCTATTACAAGACCAAGGTGATTGCTCTCGGACGCCCAGATGGAAAAGTTACAGCCTCCACAAAGGAGATGGAGAAAATCATTCACGAATACTACACAGAGCTCTTCAATAAGCACGTCCGCCTTAGAGGATGGATATGTTGTACCACCGGTTCTCCCTTCCGAAATCCGACATGCCATTTCGTCGGTGAAAAATCGAACAGCACCAGCTCCTGACAGCACAAGATCTGAACACCTGAAGAACCTTCCGCCAGTCCTCATAAACACACTGGCTCGACTCGTCAAATGTTATCTGTCTGAATGCAAGGTCCCTACTCAGTGGAAGACCAGCAAGACCGTGCTATTGTTCAAGAACAGTGACCTACACGATATCGGCAACTACCGCCCAACCTGCTTGCTGTCTGTCGTCTACAAACTTTTCATTCGAGTGTCCTAAACAGGATTGACAGAACACTGGACGAAGGACAGCCACGTGAGCAAGCAGTGTTTCGAAGAGGATTTAGTACGATGGACCACATCCACACGGCAACACGGGTCATTGTAGTATCGCGAAAGCACAAAAGACCGCTCCGTCTCACTTTCATCGATTTACAGAAAGGATTTGATTCAGTTGAGATCGAAGCAGTCTTGGAAGCCCTTGATAGTCAAGGAGTCCCTACACAGCACATAACGGTTCTTCATGAGGTGTACAAAAATTTCACAACCAAGATATCACCATTCTACAACGACATTAACATTGACGTCAAAGTAGGAGTTAGACAAGGCGATACCATCTCGCCAAAATTACTTACCGCCACACTCCAGAAAGTCATGCGAACATTGGAATGTGATAATATGGAAGCGAAAATCGACGGTCGGCAGTTACACCATCTTCGCTTTGCTGATGGCATCGTCCTTATAACACCAAACATTAGCCAAGCGGAACGTATGCTTGCCGACTTTGATAAAGCCTGTGGAAAGATCGTTTTCAACTAAATCTCACAAAAACGATGTTCATGAGGAACACACTGGTTTCGTATGCCCCATTCACGATCAACGGAACGAATCTCTCCGAATGGCTCCAGTTATATCTATGTTGGTCGGGAAATCAATATGATGACGACTTAGCTCCAGAGCTGAGCAGAAGAAAACGAATGGACTGTGGAGCTTTCAAGAGCATCGAGGATGTAGTGAAGAGGACAAAGAACACCCAACTTCGTGCCCACCTTTTCGACTCAACGGTACTTCCTGCCCTAACGTATGCGTCAGAAACCTGGTCGCTGCGTAATCGGGATGAAAAATCACTCAGCATTATTGAACGCGCACTTGAAAGGACGACCGACGCTCCGACCTACGTTAACGATCAAAATTCAGAAATACTGTTCTGTACGCCAAACAGTCGAAGATAAGGACAACTGATGGACAAGAGCCGTTAGTGACCGGATTCCTCGGGATGTCAAACGTACTGCAAGAAGACCACCGACCCGATGGCCAGAGTTCTTCAAGAAGAGTCTAAAAGAAAGATATAATGCTCGACGAGTTCCTAGAGCGAGCAGAACCCACTGGACTACTCTTGCACGCGACAGGGGAAAATGTAAGATTTACTGGCGCCCACTCGTCACTCGACGATCAACGGAACTACAGGTGATAATATATGTATATACATGTATATATATATATATATATATCATAAGTACGACTACTGCTGTAAAGTGTTCTCTCCAAATTCATATAGTTCCCAACTCAAGTGTTCAAAAAATAATGATTATCCGAAAAAACAGCTTCTGATGTCACATGTTAATGAATAACCTAGGACCGTTCCAAATAATTGTATAGGATAAAAGTACGTCTTCGTACCACTTTATCACAATCGTTAATAACATTCTAACTTGTATACAGCGTTATGAAAGACAAGATAGGACGTGCTCCATGAATGACATTCTAGGTGAGACAAGATGCTTTCCTCATTTTAACTAATAGGATGTATTACACCAATAACGTTACTAGACTTACATTCGGAAAAATGCAAACTTTAGATTAAACAGCGTGAGAAGGAATATCAAATAGGTAATGAAAAGAATTACACTTTCCATAAAGGGACGATACTGAACGTTATAAAATGAATTTACGTTTTACAACCCGATCATTAAAAATTAGCCCTGATTTATGAGAGGTCATACAATTCTCACCAAGTACGAACGAAAACACACAGATACACAAGTTTTGGAAAGTTAAACTCTTTAAAATCTTTGAGAGTATCAAAATATACCCGTGCAGTACTTTGTATCAATAATGCAATAGAGGTAAAACAAACGCTTTAGTTGTGGTTACAAAGTTACTTCAGTTTCAACTTGGCTGCAAGACGTTGTTTGGCTGTAGACGGCTTTTTCTTCGTCATTCTTCTCATTTGTATAGTTTCTAAGAAAAATGTTTTTAAAATCCAAGTCGGAATACAGTCAATCTCATTCTCTTTTCAGTGGTTGAAGAATGACTCTATATGGATGTTCCCAAGGTAATAAATTGAGCAGACTTTCAAAAAAATAAAGACTAAATTGTAATCCTACAATAGGGTCGTTTTCAAAGTAGCCCGATAAAAATCAACAAAATGTCAAGTTACAGGAATATACTTTCAGCCGGGCTTATCCCTATTTTGTTCTTTGTTTTCCTTCTGTTCTCCTCTCGCAGTAGCTCTGCCTCTTCTTCTTCACACGCTCTCTCCATTTCGGCATCATATGACACTGGTTCGCGCAAGGCGAACTGCTCACCAGCTTCTGAAATCGAACAATATTCCCACATGGTATTTAAAACAAGCATGAAATACAAATTACGTTGGTAACAACACCATTATACATGGTATGAGTCCGTTCCCACTTTCCCCTATTCCAAGTATAAACATTCAAACCTTCCAGACGTTTCGATGTTTTCTCCAACTCATCCAGTCCAACAGCTGCAGCAAGCCATGCAGCAGGACGAGGCTGTCGTCCACTGGAACTCCGACGCGCGAACATTTGAGTCATATTCACATCTTCTAACATGGGATCTGGCTTCTCCACTACAGATGATGCGTACTAGACATAAAAACAGAGTCATATGCGTCTAGTCTAAGCACCATTATCTCAAATAATTAGAAGACGAGCAGTTCAAAATTAACACACACTCTTTCCTTTCTTAGTTAGTTTGATCCGGAAATCTATGGGAATCTCGGAATCCGACTCTGTTGAGTCCAACCTAAAAAATGAGGCCCACTGAATCCACCCAATCAAATAACGATACAAATTTAACGAAAACTACTTCGATGAAGTCGTAGGATTTGCTTCAAGCGTCTCATTTTCAGAAAGTAAAGGAGGCATGTCCACTTCCGGCTCAACAGCACACGGACGTGTAAGAGAGACGCCGTCAGAAGAACAGTTCTGATTCTCTGAACATAATCGATATTGTGCATTAAATAACAGAAGGAAATTCAGTGTACAAAATAACGCCTAATAATGAACGCTGATGTAGATTACTCGACGTAGACGTTCATTCTATTACAAAGCATTATACCTAGAAGGTGTTTCATTTCAAGTTAAAATACGAGTCATCAATTATGTCTCAATTAACAGTGAGCTGTATTAATTGAAATGAAAAGCTTAGAATATGATACACATCACCCATCAAAAAGCCTCAAATCAAAGAATTTTCCACCAGGAAACCAAGATAGGAGTAAACCAATACTGGAATCTACCAACGTCCTGGTACCAAACTAGTCGCATGGTGGTAAATCTCTCTCTGATCCACAAGGGCTGCGACTTCCCTTCGTGGTGACGACCTGGGGCAGACTTTGGCTAGGCTGTCCTCGGGATTCCAAGGAACCACAATGGCTTAACCAGCAAATCTCCGAGAAATGGAGATTATGCTGGCGTCTGCACAACCAGTGAGGACGAGCTGTCCAAGTATCCAAGTATATGATAAATATACAACTTTTGTTCCCATAAAGAAGTAGGTTTCATCTACATATACTAGAAAACACACTTTTCCCACTTTTTTACGTCAAGGTTCGTCTTTCCAAATGTTTGAGCAAGCAAAACATCGTACAGCAAGACACGATTGTGCCCCATAATTTGCTGTTGCTTTCAGATTTCGTACTCCTGCTGAAATTTTGGAATTTTGAAGAAAACCTTACAAGTTTTTAAGACTATTTCGAAAGAAAAGGATCTCTTCCAGCAGTATTTCAGGTTCTCAAGCCCTCAATTACATTAGTCATCCAAGGTACGCGGTAACGAATGAAAACTGAATGTCGTCACCAAGATATTAAAAA